GTTGAGACCGGCTTGGCGGTTTAGTTCTTCATTAATCCAGAACATTCATTAACTCATTGCAATTCAATAAAGAAAGTCATGAACTAATAAATGTGCTGTTATAAATGTAGTCATATAATACTAACATATTTTAACAGCCCCCCGCAAACTCAAGGAGGATAGAAACTAACCAACTTGAGTTTGGAGAGAATAACAAAATAAGAAAATACATAAAAATAAAAAAAAGGATAGGAGACACTGTATGGTCGTGTCAGACCGTTGGTGAAGACACTGAAAGGTGGTGCCATAACGTGGTAGAGGACACTGGATGGGTGTGCCATAACGGTGGAGAGGACACTGGATGGTGGTGTCATAACGTGGTAGAGGACACTGTATGGTGGTGTCATAACGGGGTAGAGGACACTGTATGGTAGTGTCATAACGTTGTAGAGGACACTGTAAGCTAACCGGTATCAAAAGTCGGGACAGTTTATGGGGTCTTGTTGGACCGTTGTACAAGGCTAACCGGAATCAAATGTCGGGACAGTTTATGGGGTCTTGTCGGACCGTTGTAGAAGGCTAACCGGAATCAATGTCGGGACAGTTTATGGGGTCATGTCGGACCGTTGAAAAAGCTGCACCCTCAAAAGGCGTGCCCAATTTTATCAAAAGGCGTGCCATCAAAAGGCGTGCCCAATTCATCAAAAGGTGTGCCGGACATGATGGCGAGGCACGTGGGTGTCTTGATTGGCGTGCCCGTTTGTCGTCTGGCGTCAAGGGGCGCGCGATATGCGTGGCTGCCTTGGCTATTTAACCAAGACGAAGGCGGAGGCTGAGGCATACCATTCTGAAACCTCTGAAACCAACCCTTCTCTCCGTCTGACTCTAACAGAAGCCCTCTCATCCAAATCAGACTCCCACTCGTCTGAGAATCCATCATGATGTAACAACTCATAATTGTCAGGCCTGCGAAAACTTATTCCATTATCAATGAACAGTGATTCCCAGGACTCAGGAGTCTGGCACTCCTCTGATAATCTATAATGAAGAGCCCAAGACTGTAAACCCAACCATTTGACCGATTCTATGGTCTTTGCCTTGAAGCATTCTTTCATTATTGAGGACAAACTATAGGGGTGGCTTGAGCACGTGCAAACCTGCACAACAATGTCTTTGATTTTAACTTTTTCCTCCTCATTCTCTTCTTCACATACAAGCCGCAGAAGCTGCCGTCCTTGACTTACAACTGCATTGAGGAGGAGTAGCTGATCGATAGATACAGAATCACTGCACTTTGAAAGTATAATCTCAAGCCAATATGATGGGTTACCAAAATTCACTGATTCAACCTTTGGATTGAGAACTTTACGGAGTGACTCCAAGAAAACATATAACTCTCGCTCATCAAGAATAATAAGGAGGTGGTGACATAAAGAAGAGAAAGGTTCCTCCATTAGAAATTCATTTATGACTTCCCATACTTCTTTTGCATCCTCCTTGAACATCAAATCAACAAAAAAATCTACAAAGAATTTGGTGTCAATGAACAAAATGTCACCATCTTCTAATGAATCAGCAAACTCATTGGATGACCAAAATTCAGGCACATTTTCTATAAAATTTTCCACTGTTCGTTGGACATCCAAATCAAGGAAGTAATGAGGCTTTGTAGCAACCATGGCAAGAGATTGCCCATGTTTCCCCATCCACTCAAGCTCCTCCCAACAGATGTCCCGATTCACAAAAGCAAACTGAGACAGTGCCTTAGCACCTCTTATTTTTAATATAATATAATAATGTTAGAATTTACCTACACCTACCACCACCTACTACCACACCTACTACACCTACCACCAATTTACCCTCACCTACTCCTCACCTACTACCCAAACCCTCTCCTATATAATGAGCTACTCTGCTTTGTAATACAACCAAGATGTGAACTCTTTGGGCTTAATCTCTTCAAGAAAAACAAGCTGAAGCTATTGACATACTAAAGCTCATGTCTTCCACTTACTTGGTAGCCCTATGCCAAGCCATAGACTTGAGGCACTTGGAAGAAAACAGTGGTGGATCATGAACACGTCTTCACATACATCGATGATCCGTGCAGCAGTACTTACCCATTGATGCAAAAGCTGAGGCAAGTCCTAGATGAGCACGCTTGGAAGAATGGCAACATGGAACAGGACTCGAACACTTCTATTTTCCAAAAGAGTTGCGCTGCTATATCTGGAGCTTCCTTCCAGTGTCTTAATGGCTGAAGCGGTTCAGCCTTTGACTGACACAGCAAAGCAATTCCTTGCGGCCCGTTATAAAGACATTACCAAGTAAGTCCCTGGTTTATGAACTTGCCCCTTGCTGGAATTGAAGCAGTTTTGTCTAGTGATGATCTCCAGGTGGCATCAGAAGATGCCGTATATGATTTCGGGTTGAAGTGCTCCAGAAAATGCTCTTTGCAAAAACAACTCGTTTGGCCCTTCTCTGGTGAGTAATTGCCACAAATGATAAGCATGGTCTTGCTGCTGCTGCTGCAAATGTAGCTGCCATGGCCATGAGGGAGAGGGATCATGTCTGACTGATGCAGAGGATCAAAGCCATTCAGATCGTGACTATCATGACGAGAGTTGCTATGATGTTGTTGGTATGGATCATTTCCTGTGAGCCTCTTGCTGGAGTTGATGGAGGTTTCAATTGGTTGAGATCCGGCGGGCGGTCAAGGCAAGGTTGCCGCCCGCCGGAAGGCGAAGAACACCAAGATCTTTAACCTATAGCTCTGATACCATGTAAGATAAAATGATAGAGAGAGAAATTGATAGTATTATGATTGATGTGTTACAAGATTGTTGTATTTATTACAATTACAAGGATTCCTATTATATAGGAGTGTGTTTGGGAGTAGGTGGAGAGTAGGTGAAGTGGAGGTGGTAGTGGTGTAGTGGGTTAGGTTTAGTGGAGTAGGTGAGGTGGTAGTGGTGTAGTGGGTTAGGTTTAGTGGAGTAGGTTTAAGTGGGTGAAGTAGGTGGAGAGTATGTGGATTTAGTGGGTTAGGTTTAGTGGAGTAGGTTTAAGTGGGTGAAGTAGGTGGAGAGTATGTGGATTTAGTGGGTTAGGTTTAGTGGAGTAGGTTTAAGTGGGTGAAGTAGGTGGAGAGTATGTGGATTTAGTGGGTTAGGTTTAGTGGAGTAGGTGAGATGGTAGTGGTGTAGTGGGTTAGGTTTAGTGGAGTAGGTTTAAGTGGGTGAAGTAGGTGGAGAGTAGGTGGATTTTAACAAAAGCAATTGCCAACCCCATTTTTTTCATTTGACCAAAGTGAAAATAGGCATGGTTTTAGTCTTTCTTGGATCGTATCTTGTTTCTTCCCTCTTTTCTTGTCTGCTTTTTGTCTTTCATTGAGCAAAAATCTACCTCTATTCCAATTTCACATGCATTAAAATATTTTGCTGGCATGCTAGTTTCATGTTATTGTATAATGAATGTTTCTTGAGAAACACCTTTGTCCAAACATCTGAAGTAGAAACAGTATATGGATCAAATAGTTAATAAAAAACATGGAAAGAAGGATCGAATTTTGCTACATGTTCACTGCTGATTTTTTCCCCAACAAACTAAAAAAGAAACCAAAAAACTGGACCCCTAACTTTAGGCCTTTCTCTAAATTTGTTGAGCTTATTTGAATCTCAGTCTTGTTTTGCTTCTACTATATACATTGACATTGAATTCCTATTTGTATTTGACTTGCTCACTCTATTAGTAGCAGCTTCATTTCAAATGATTGTTGCCTCTACATACACTTCATCTTCATATAGATTTTTAACTTCTGTCCTTGTATCAGAAAACTGCGTGGCTTTCTATATTTTACATGTGTATACCAGCTGGAGTTGCACTTGGCTATGTTTATGGTGGATTTGTGAGTACAACTTGCTCTGAACTGTGCTACATTAAATCAATAATGTTTTTGACAAACATTTTTTAATACATCGTTGGACCTTTGGCCATACTGCAAGTTGTGTGTTTGACTGCTACTTTGTAGTTCACATCTTGTTTTGTTTTGATAATATTTTGATGGAACAATTGCTAATCGTCTTTATTTTTTCCCTTTAATTTGTTTTGTTTTTGGTATAGGTTGCAGGTCACTGGAATTGGCGTTTTGCATTCTTTGGGGAGGCAATTGTGATGGTTCCATTTGCTATTCTAGGTTTTGTTATAAAACCTTTGCAGTTGAAAGGTATATGTTGTGTTAGGTTTTTTTTTGGATGTAATCTATTAGCATTTCCTAGCTATTCTTAACAACTTGTGGATTCAGGTTTTTCCCCTGCTGGATCAAAAAAAGCATTGACTGGTACAGAGATAGCTGTCATAGAACTTAAAGGTGCGACACGTTATGATTACTGTGCATGGGATCTTTTCAGTATAATTGCACTTTTTTCTTCTCTCTTTTCAGTTTACTACATCACTATTATTTAAGAACCAATGTGTAATAAATGATGTATAAAGAGAAATAGAGAATTGTATTATTGATTGATATATTGATGTTCTGTTGTGTATATTCTGCTACAACGGTCCGACACGACCATACCGTGTCTTCTACAACGTTGGGAAAGAGATTGTGGATTTGTGCCTCGATCGAATTCGAAAATATATGTATTATTGATTGATGAATCTTGATGATCTGTTGTGTATATTACAATTACAAGGATTCCTATTATATAGGAGTGTGTTTGGGAGTAGGTGGAGAGTAGGTGAAGTGGAGGTGGTAGTGGTGTAGTGGGTTAGGTTTAGTGGAGTAGGTGAGGTGGTAGTGGTGGTAGGTTTATGGTAAATTCTAACACAATGTGCAAAAGCCAAGATAATTGGTGCTATTGAGAACATCTACAGTAATCCAATATCCATCAAGCACATGTCACTGAATAGCCTTGACAATCTTGTTCCCACATAATAATGCCTCAATTTGCCCAGTTTAAATATTTTTATTGATTTCATTTGAATCCATAATAATTAACTTGATTACCTTGACAAAATAGTTGATTGTCAGAATTTTATTCTAGTTAGACAACTACTAAGCAATGTGGTTTTGACTCAAAGTTTCTGAATAGTATTTTGAATCAGTGATGCTAATCAATCCTTGTAATGAACTTAAAATAGAATTTTTTTTATAATGGAAAACAATCCTTGCATTGCATGTAGTAAGTTATTGTCTTCTTTTTAAGACCAGAGAAATTTTTCTCAAGGGGTGACAATTTGTGTCTTTGGATAATTAGAGGTCATGACTTCATGATATGACAAGTGCTATATGCTTCCAGCCTTGTCATGGGTGTTCAAGTCACAAGAATCAACCATTCCTCAAAAAAGTGGGGGGAAGGCTACCTACCTACTACCTCTCCTAGACTCTGCGGTAAGTGGGGAGCACAGTGCAAAATCAGATGGGAAAGGCATAGCAAATGCACATTTTTGAAGGACATGCTTTTCTTTTGTTATGGCATTTTAAATAGATGGGGGGTTTAATCAGTCAAGAAAATATTCCACTAGGATAACTTAATGGGCCTATTCAACAATAATTTGAATCTGAATTTGTTAACAGCCGAAATTGATATGATTATCTAATATAGTCCAATGAGAAGTAACAAAAAAACCTTTTGAAAATTTATTCGATTAAATTAACTAAAAAACTTGAATTATGATATTTGGTTATCTATTATATAATTTTTGTTGAGTTATCCATATTACCTTTATAAATATTTTTCCACAACCTATTATATATATGTATATACTTATAAAGACCATTATTGGATCTGGCCACCCTAAATTTGGATATGGATCATTACCAGGCCAACACTTCATACTCTTTTCACCAAATCTGATTAATTAGATTGGATTGGGATTAAAATTAAATCTACTGATAGGACTAATTCCTTCACTTCAGTCTTCAACCTTATTTCCTCGGTCAAGGGCTGTTCAGTATTTTAATGAAAGTCAGTTAATGATAACTGGGGATTTTAGCTTTAAGCTTTTCTTGTTTATACATTTATTCAGCTCATAGTTTCCTCTCTTGCCCGTAATAATTTGATTGATACTTGATATAAATACAGATGACTTAACTGGTAAAGATGGCATGCTATCTGTAAAGGAAGAGTTCATTGATCAAAGCTCAAAAGGACCTTCCAAGTGAGGGCTCTCTTCCTGATGCTCATACTCTGTTATTTATGATAGCATATGGTTGGGAATGAATTTATGCTGCCTTCTAAGCAAATGTCATTTATGTTGTAGGATTTTACACATTTATTTAAGTTTGATTTGGCATCCGTGCAAGCTTAGTATAGACAGGAATATCAATTTGATTTTGTTGGATCTCATTTTTATTTCAGGCTGAAGTCTAGATCTGCTCTTCTGAATCAGATATCAAGATTTTTAAAAGATATGAAAGTGCTTTTGCTTGACAAGGTTTATGTCGTAAACGTTCTAGGTATATTGTTCTCCACACTTTACCGGCAAGCTTTTATTGTACAAGGATTCTTATGGATTAGTTTTGATTTGATATTTTTATGTGCTCATAGACGTGATGGTTAATTTGTTTGCTTGACATTGTTGTCTTGATCAACGTCAGCTACATTTAACTAGTCATTGAAGATTTCCCTCCGTATAATCTATGGCATTAACTTTTGTACCTTATTTCAATGTACTAATTCTTCCACTTGTTTGGCTGCTTGCAGGTTACATAGCCTACAATTTTGTTATAGGTGCATATTCTTATTGGGGGCCAAAAGCTGGTTATAATATATATCATATGGTAATT